CCCAATGCTGGTCTATGATCTTTTCGGGTAACTGCTATAAGGAGAGAGCGTGTTCCTCCCTGACATTATTAATATCCTTACAGGCCTACCTAATGTTTGGCTGGACGCTAAGTCAAGGGGGTGACTGGGTCCTAGCCTGAAAGGGTACCAAGGCCCCATTCTCAGGCTGCATCAGCCTCTATCACACCAGCATGTCTGGTCTCCTTCAGGAGTTCTCTTCCTGATTTTCCTGCCCACTTTACCAGGAATCTTTGCTGTGATCCCCTTCAGAGTGGGCCGCAGTGTGGGGGCTAGGCACCATCTAGCTCTTCTGGTTTCAGGTATTGGACACTGACGTTCACATGTGGCCTCTTAATTCTTCAGAGCAAACGTCTTTGACCTTCTTCACTCTTCTTTGCTCAAAATAGGGAGAGATGAGTGTAGCTGCACCTTATCCGGCTGCCTGCTATATCCACCTTTAGCTTGATAAGCATTTCTATCATCAGTCAGATTTTCCAGTATAATTTTACTCAATCTAACAATAGGATGATACAGATTTTCTAAATTTGGGAATGTGGAAAATCAGAAAAGCTTTTCCCAATACTGAATCTGATTTGTGGTCCCACTCACAATTTTATCCTTCATGGAATGGAATTTGCTAAAATTTTATTTAGGACTTTTGAACCTAGGTTAATAAAAGTGACTGGAATACGACTTTTCCTTTCTTTTGCTATCCTTGTCTGATTTTGACATCAAGATTAGGTCAACCTTTCTTTCTTAACTATTCTTTGGAATACTATGCATATGACAGAAATGATCTGTTACTTAAAAGAAATATATAAGTACCTGCAAAACTACTAGAGACTGAGAATTTTAGATCTAGTACAAACTATTCATAGAGCTAATGACTACATATATTGTAGTGAGATTATGAATATAAGCATTTTTTTTAAAAAAAAACCTCGAAAGCATGTTCTAGTCTGAACTCTTTAACTATACTATGAATGAGGACACTGAAAATATGTAAGTTTTTTCATTCTTTTTTTTTTTTTAGACACAATTCAGGTTTATTAGTGAAAGAAAGAAAGAAATACAAATAGGCAATCACAGTACACTCTCTTAAGTGTCAGGCAGCTGCTTTTTCTGGCAAGTGAGAACAAACAAGGCTCTAGGGCTGAGTATTGGTATTTATGTTGTTTTCTCTCTTACTGACTTTTCTATGTAGTGATATTTTTCTTTTTTCTTTTTTTACTTTTACATTGCTTTGCATACAAAGTTCACATATATTGTGTTTCACACTGTTCTTCATTCACATTGTGTTTCACACTCTTCATTCACATTGTGTTTCATACGGTTATACTCATTATGTTTTATGAAATCAGTCACCATTAAGCCATGACCACAATTACCCAGTTTTCAGATCCCCACTGAATCTCTCCCATTTCTTTTACCCCTCCTCCTTCCACCCACCAAATTGTGCAATGAGGGTTGCAGAGTGGATTATATTTGGGGGTAGGGGGTGGGGTTTGGGGAGGTGCGGGGCGGGGATTGTGTACCAAGTTTTTTCATTCTTAAGAAAGTGATTTGAACTATGGATTTAGCCATACCTCAATACTAAACAAGCTCTTCCTCAGGACATACTGTATAATAAAATACTGATGGTGAAGTCCTTAGGATTAGCAAGATGTTCAAAACATGCTCATTTCTGCCTAAAGATTTGCTAACTGTGGAGAGCTCAGTACCTATCTTTTTGTGTAAACACGTGTAACTAGACTGACGGGCATGTGTTCTGAGATTTTTTTGCTTGGTTTTATCCCCTCCTGCTGTGGGGTGGCAGCACAATTACTGGTCCGGACCTATTTTTGTGTTCTAACCCACATTAATTCCTTCTCTGTCTTGTTCTGTACACTACAAGATGAAATGCTTTCTAGAAGGATGAAATGACAAGTAAAAAGAAATCAACAACAAAATGAAAATGAGCAAGAACACTAGCTGAAGTACAGATTTATATCCATCAGCAATACTGAAAAGGAAAAGCGATACTAAAAACACCTCATGGTATTAAGCTAGACAGGCTGATTCACGCCCTTTGCCAGGAACAGTATAATAATGATAATAATTTAATTAATATACATCCTTGTTTGTTTTTTAAACACTTGCACTTGCTTTATCTCTCATGTTCACAGAATTTAATACCTGGAATTTTACTTCTAAAATGTCATCTATTGCAACTACGCATCTGATGCTTCTGAATTTTTCCAATGAAGAGGCAATCAGGAATCACTGTCACCAAACGGTGTCCCTTTCCCCACTCTCAGTAAAGGCTAATCCTCAGAAAACTTTTTTTTAAGGTTAACATTAAATCTACTTCTTTCTAAATGCTAGGTAATGATTTAATTCTTCTCACACTTCCATCAGAGACGGTCAATCCTTTATTTTAAGTTATACAAACAGCGGCCACTCATGTTCCGCTGAAGGCATCCTTTTGTGGCACGGGTAGGATGTACAGCGTATGAAGCGTTTGTACGAGTTTCTCTTGTTGCTGTTGACTGCCGTCGAGCTGACTGTGGCTCACAGGACCCTATAAACAGTGTATCTGAACCTGTCTTATCTGCACCGTCCTCATCATCTCTGACATATTCGAGACCACCATTATAGTCACTGTGTCAATCTATCTCGTTGAGGGTCTTCCACTACTTCTCTGATTCTCTACCTTTCCGAACATGATATCCTCTTCCAAGGATTAGAACCTCCTAACAATATGCCCAAAGTACGTGAGGCAAAGTTTCACTATTCGTGGCTCCAAGGTGCACCCTGGCCGCACTGTCTCCAAGACATATTTGCTTATCCTTTTGATAGTGCAGGGGATGGTCAGCATTATTCTCTTCCAACACCACAACTCACTCGCATCAATTTCTCTTCGGTCATCCTTATTCACTGCCCAACTTTCACCTGCATAGCAAGGAACGGAAAAGACTACAGTTTGGATCAAGTGAACCTTAGTCTTCAAACCAGTTGCGGCTCTTCAGGACTCTGATGAGGTGTCTGACAGCACTTTCCCAATCCAATGGGTTTCGATTTCCTGGCTGCTGGTGCCAAGGGTGCTGACTGTAGATCCAAGCAAGATGAAATCATTCCTTTCTATCTCTTCTCCATCCATCATGATGTTCCGTATTGGCTCAGTGGTGAGGATATATACACACATATATAATTTTTTTTTAGCTTGAAATGTAACCTATAGTGAAGGATATAGTCTTTGATCCTCTCCAGCAAGCGTATCAAGTCCTCCTCACTTTCAGCAAACAAGGTTACATCATCTCATAACGCAGGTTGTTGATAAACTTTCTTCTGATCCTGATGCCACATTCTTCTTCATAAAGTCCAGCTTTGTTCTGTTCATGCGATAGTGTCTTGGTCTAGGTACAGATCTGACACGAACACAATTAGGATCCTCATTCCTCTCACTGTCAGCCATAAATTGTTAGGATCCACACAGTCAAACGCCTTTGCATATTCAATAAAACACAAACAGACATCTTCCTGGTATTCTCGGCTTTCAGCCAGGATCCAGCTGACACCAGGAGTCCACTATTATCATGGCCATATTTACTATGAAGGAGGAAATTAAAATTCTAATAAGTCAAGTTACTTGGTCAAATAACATACTTAGGTAAATAGCCAAAGAGATTATGAATCCCAAATCTATCGGCTGTCAAAATCTATGTTCTATTCTTTTTACTAAGTAGCAGAAGAGATTCCAAATCCCAAATCTATCAGCTGCCAAAGTCGATTTTCTACTCTTTTTACTAAAAGTAACTGCTTCTCCTTAAAGAGACGATATACAAAGGTCAGAATGAGATAATATGTAAGAACATACAAAGAGTGCGAAGCATGGAAAAACAATACAGAAGAGACTCTGGAAACCCTCTGCAATTTCCAACTGTCAAAATTCTATTTCCTCCCCTTTTTTGGTACCACTTTATAGAATCTTTACAATTGCGTCTCAAAACGTAATTACTATCTTTATATTTTTCAGATGTTTCTACGTAAATAAAAAGAAATCAAGTTAGCAGAGCAAACAAGATAAATTCTTTTCAGTTTATGGTCTTTCCCTTCCAATCTGTCTCACACACTTTTAGAAAAGGCTCTCCCTTCCAGCACAAACATCTTAAGAGTTCAGCATAAACACGGCCAGCTTCTGAGAGCAAAGCCAGCAGTCTAATGGGGTTTCCCCCAATGGTTTCAAAGACCGTACCTAAAAACAGAGCTAACACAAGCTCTCTCCTCTCCAGGCAAGTATTTATTTGACATCCTCTTTGTTCGGAGGAACTCTATTTGATAAATCCAATATGGCTGTCACTAGCTATGCTTTTTATGAAAATGTGTCTATATAATTACATGATTAAAGGATATTTATTGCATTTATAAACATTTCCTCTTTCCTCAGTTATACTACAAACAGCTTGAGGACAACTTATTGATCTTTTTGTTATTTGTTAAAAAAAAATTGTTTTCTTTTTAACAATTAAAAGCAAGCTAAACAGTAAGAGGTGACTAAAGTCCTCAGTTTCCACAGTAAAACAATCATTCATCATCATGCATGTCTCTAAAATGAGATCTTTTCTTTAAAAGTTGTTCGCTACGATTCTCTCACCAAACTTTTTTTTTAAATTTTATTATTTTTGTGTGAGTGTACTGTCAAATCAGATCTGACTCGTACAGGAGGAGATTGTCCCTCCTTCCCCGGCAGAGCATCTGGTGGATTCGAACCATGCGCCTCTGGGATTGTAGTTGCAGCTCCTTGCCATTAGACCACCAGAGCTCCCCTCACCAAACATTTTAAGAAAAAAAGTGAGAATGGTTCAAGTAAATCTTCTCTTTTAGGCCTACCCTCTAGCCAATCTTGTGTTAACGAATGACGGCGATGTTACTGAAAATATAAAGCAGCCATTCATGTCACACGCATCGTAAATGCTATGAACACGGGCAAGGGCGCGTTCCACATGCAGGGCGGTCCTTACCTTGTTGAGCATCCTGTTCCTGCATGCGATTCACAGTGAGGTCTAAGGGGCCATCCTGCTCGTCCGGAAGGGAGCTGTCTGCTTGAGTCATTTGGATACTTTTACATATTAGACTTGGTCCAATCGAACCATTTCTGTTCTCTTGAATTTTACCACTTTTTGAAATGTACTCAATTGCAAACTGACGTATCATCTTTTTCATTAATTCCTGAGCAACTAGGGGAATGTTAGGATCACAGTTCTGAGGAAGATCTAGGGAAGAAATAAATATAATCAGCATTAAAAAAGGAGAAGGACAAGGTTCCATAGTCAAACTTACTTTTACACATCAATGAAATCAGATTTTAGTTATCACTCTATAATTACCAGTGGTTTCCAGGGGTTCAGCAAATAAAAACCGCAAAGATTTAATTAAGTTTTTAATTAAGTTTTATGGTAGTAAACCAAAGCAAAATTTTAAACATTTATTATATTAGTATATTACAGAACTATTTAAATATTCCTTACAAAGAAAAGTCTTTTCTGTCCCAACAAATAGAAACATTAGCTACAGAAGTAGAACATGTTTTCTTCAGAGTTTGAATATTCATTCAAATATACGAGATATTAAGCTATTTAATGTATGGGCACATACTCTGTAACTATACATTACTTTATATGAGTGTGTATATATGTACAATTATTTAAGAAAATATTTCAGTTCTTGCCACTCTATAAACATTAACTCAATTCTATCACATATCACATACGCATTTCGTATTTACTGTCCCTTTTTAGTTAAAAATTTCAGTTATACATAAAAAAAAGGTAAAATGGAGTAATTAACACTCAAACAGCCTCTCCCAAGATTCAAGAACTGTTGCTATTTTACATTTGCTATCTTTTTGCTTTTCTATTGAAACACTGAAAGTAAACTGCAAATTCATGACTTTTCACTGTGAAACATTTTCACCTGCACCTTCTAAGTACACTCCTCTACAACTAATCTCAGTATCACAACTGGGGGTCTTAACCAATCTTTAATGCCAAAGCATGCAGATTGGCTATAATAAAGCCTGGCAGTAATTTAGGGAAAAATAATGATACTTAAACCTGTACAACACCTAAAAACATTTTATAGTGAGAAGTATGGGTAAAATCAGACTATTCAGAAACATGTTGAGTACTGGTGTGCCTGGTGAGAACGTAAGAGGGGAACTTAACCCAGACGTCAATTGCTGCTGCTTGGAAATGGGTCTACTTCTAGAGTTACTTAGTTTTTGCTGCTAAATTTCTCAAATGTGTGTATGTATGTATGTATATATATATATATATATAAATACCCTTTTAGTATAAATAAGTTTGGCTGTTGTTAATATTTTACTGTATTTCTGGTGAAAGTTTACATAGCAAGTTAGGTTCCCGTGTAACACTCTGGATTCCTACTGCTTAGCAACACTAGTTCCATCTGCAGTGTCCACCTTCTCTACGTCCATTCTGCTTGGCCCATTCCCACTATTCTCCCTTCCCTGTCTTCCTTCCCTTTTACTTTCTTATCTTTCCTTTATAATAACTGGTGACCATTTGGTCTGATAATTTTTTTTAAAGTAAAAAAGGCAGTCAAAACTCATTAGTGATAATATTTTATGATCCAATTTGTTACTTAAATGAAGTTGACCTCTGAGAGTGGTTGCAGTTCCAAGTTCAAGGGTACCAAAGGGAATACAAATTAGTAAATAAATAACAGACATATATTAAGACATGTGAAGTGAAAGGAAAAATACAGTAAGGAGTTGATAAGCACAGTCCCATTAATTAAAGGGGAGACATAGGGAAGTACAGAAGGATTAACGGAAACCCAAATTACAGCAAGGAAGTGAGAAAAACTTAGTGTGTGCACACTGCAATTAATGTTAAAGAACAAAACGTACATGAATGGTTAGATGGCTCGATTCTGTGACTGGGGTGGTGGGAGCGAGTGTGTCAGAGACAGCGAGGTTGGCACAGGGGATAGAGCAGTGTATAGGACTCTTGTACAAAAGGTCACTATGAGTCACAAGCTACTCGATGGCACATAACAACAGCAACAAACTTTCTCTTAAATGACAATTATTTGGAGAGGTGTGGGGGGGATTGTGTACCAATGAGGGAGTTTTTCTTTTGCTTTTCAAGGAGAGGAGCAAAAGGCGGGGGGAGCGGGGAGGGGTTTGTGCGGGGAGAAGGGTGCAACAATGAATGAATGGAATCCCAAAATCTCTGTAGATATTCATTGAAATGAAAAATAAACAACCTAAATTTTAAAAAATTACAATTATTAATTTTTTTAATTTTTAAAAGAATCTCAAGGTAATAGTCTGGGGGAATCTTTTAGTCTCTACAGAAACAGGAAGTCTGAATTTTTTTTTATACACAAATTTGGAATCTGCTCTCTTCTTTTTCTCCTGTTCTATTGGAAACCATCTATCGTGTCCCTGGCCAGTACAGTCAGTTGTAGCAGCTGGGCACCACCTAATTCTTCTGGTCTCAGGGCAGTTACGGGCATGGTTCCTGTGGGTTCTGGAGGGAGCTGTGCTGGTAACCTGTAAGTCACATCTTGCTGGCAGTTCAAACCCACCAGGGACTCAGAGGAGAAAGGTGTGCAATCTCCTCTTGTGGAAGGAACCCCAAGGGACAGTGAGCTAGGGGCCAGTTCCACCTCCACCACAGTGAGTATAAATTTGTTCTACTTGCTGGCTCCTATTTTGAGTCTCTGGTTTCCTTCTTTCTCTTCTGTGTCAGATGAGTAGAGACCAACAGGTTTAGTTCAGTTGGCTACTCATAGGCTTTGAAGACTTCACGTGTGTGCAGAGCACAAACTCTGTAAGCCATGATGTACCACATGGCAGCTGCCCCATGAGACTACGGTTCTAAGACTTCAAACCCAGTTAACAAATCAGTGACGTGCTGTCCCTGGGCTTACTGTGTATTTTATTTTATTTTATATATATCTATGTATTTATCTAATATAGATCTATATTTATGAACACATATGCAGTACCCACAGGCATATTTAAAGCTACAGATACCCATATATAGACCCACATATGCTCTCATCTGCATTCTTCATGTATGTTTTTCTACATGCATAGCTTAGCTTTCTTTTTCTTAGTATCAATACTGGTATATTTCACTACAGAAATATATTTGGTCAGGAAGTGTGGCCTCAGATCTTGCTCAAGATGCTATACAATGTATAATATATATGTTCTCTGAGGACTAAGGTATGTCTGATTCAGGCCAGTCTTTCTGATCACTTGCTATACATCTGAGAGTTGGACAATGAATAGGGATGACAGAAGAACTGATGCCTTTGCTCTATGGCGTTGGAGAAGAGCACTGAACAGCCTATAGATGCTCAAAAGAACAGACAGATATGTCTTGGAGAGGGTGCAAGTTGGAGTGCTCCTTAAAGGCAAGAAGGATGAGGCTCTGCCTCACATACTTTGGGCATGCTGCTAGAAGGGGCTGTTCCTTGGAGACGGACATGATGCTGGGACGGGTGGAAGGTCGGCAAAGGAGAGGATGACCCTCAACCAGGTAGACTGACACGGTGACTGCTGCACTGGGCTCGTGTGTGTCGGGAAGTGTGAGGATGGCTCTAGACAGAACAGGGTTCAGATCTTTTATTCATAGAGTTGCTAAGAATCGTACTCGACTTGATGGCACCTAACAATGACAACAAGAACACAATCACCTTTTCAAAGAATTTAGGATTTTTAAAAACATCTCAGAGAAGAGAATGTGGGTGAATTTTACAAGTAACACTTTAGCATTCCCACTTAGGCTTTGTTTAGAACCAGGAAGAAATGAAGGAGTAAAGAACAGTTGAGGTTGGAACTGGAACCATGGCCCATCGTCAAGGAGCTCAGGACAGTTAAAGATCCTCTTCATGTTTTAGTTTCTCCACTCATAAAAATAGAAAGAATAGAATCTGAGAATACACAATGAAGTTTGTTCACAAAGAGGTTCTAAGAGTTACATGAAATGGTACCTCAAACACTGAACTCTGACAGTATAGGGATTACTAAGAATTTAATAAACGTTAGCTGCTATTATAATAGGTTATAAAAGAAATAATAAGGAAATAAAAAGACTGAAAAGTTATACTTTAAGGATAAATAAATAAAAATATCATATGCCAACTAGTTTGATAACTGGGAAAAGAAAAGGAACATAATTTTAAGACCATGCGACACTTTCTTTTGGGTCAAAATTAGTACAAGTGAAACAGAACAAAAGAGAATAGCCAAAATATGAAATCTCTATGTGATACATATAAACTCTAATATTTTACATTTCTCAATTATCATCTCACAGAATCTCTTAATGTTCCTAAGATTCTTCCCCCCCGCCCCCCCCAAGCCCAGCCTTGTTTCAGAATATGTGCTAAAACAGAGATACAGAATTTACTTCCCAGTTCCTCGGTTAACTGTGCAGTAGTCTATCAACTAACATCACCTCGTCAATTAAAAACAAGAAAAGCTACCAAGAAAGAACCTGATTTCTCTGACTACTGTTTCCCTGGGTGTTGATTCAAGTTACAAGTAAGCCTTCAACTTTAACATCATTTGTTTCTTGGTCCAGTTACAATGATGGATTATGTATCCATAAAAGCTACAGACTTTTCATTTTCTTAGTTATCATGATGGATCCTTTCACTGTTTAGGTCTACCATGAATTCTCTTGAGTTTCTATTATCATGTGCAAAATGAACTGGTTTTATTCCTTCTTTTTTTCAATTCTTGAATTTGACCTCTTCTTTTAGCTAATTTTACTAGCTGAAACCCCAATACAGCTGACCCTTGACCACTACTAGGGTTAGGGACTCCGACTCCCTCAGCAGGAGAAAAACACACGGAGAATTTCTGACTTCCAAAAAACCCTAACCTACTAATAGACTGTAGTTGCCAAGAAGCAGTAACAGTAACAGTTGATTAACATGTATTTCTTGTATGTTTAACATATTGCATCCACATAAAATTGCATTTTCAGTGAGTAACAGAGTTACTCGCAAGGTTTTTGTGCCTGTTGTCATACTTGCAGTGACAGCCTCCTGGATGTCTTTTCCTTTGTTTACGGTGGTTCTTATACAAGATTCATTTATATGCAAATGGTAGACCACCTCGGCTGCAGACCTCAATCTACAGAACAGATCCAGCAATTCAACATTTTTTTTTGTGATGCCATAACTTTCACTACTTCCAGCATCCCTCGTGGCACTTCGCATGGGTCTG